GTATGTTGGAGAGGAGATCAATTTAGTGGTGCTAGGGGCAGTAAAGACATCAAAAAGGGTATTATCTAAAAATGTAGATGGAAATAATGGGAGATGGGCTTTAGCAGTGTGACGTACTTGCAAATAGCGAAACAAATGATTAGGCAAATTAAATTCCATTTGTAGACTAGAGAAGGAACATATCGACCCATCCCTAAATAACAGTGGCCCATGCATGTGACACCTCTGACAACTTAGGCCCCCTGGATCAGGTATAGTGTTAAATTAAGGGAGCAGAGCTTTATTCCAAATAGACATGTGATTGTTAAATCAGGGGAGTTTCAAACGACTCAACTTAAAGGAGAACTATGAGATGAGTGATTTCCACTCACCTCATAGTTCTAGCCGACCTGTGACAATGAGACTGTCACAGGTCGGCTCAGTAGATCGGGAGGTGAGCGAACACATACCAGGTTCGCTCAACTCTCGATCCTGTCACGGCTCTCTGCCGTGACAGGGGGAGGGCTGGATTCCCCTCTCCCATCTGCCAGCGCTGACTGGCAGAACGGACGGGGGAGGGGGCGGGTACAGCTGGCTCTGCCTCTAGATAGGCAGAGCCAGCTGTCACTCACGCAGCTGGGCAGATCCCGTCATCTACGTCGGGATCCGCTCCGGCGTCTCAGTATACCGTGAGCTGTAGCTCGCGGTATACTGAGCTTAGGGTAACGGGAGGACGCTAGTTTGTGTCCTCCCGTTACCCTGAGAACTATGGGGAACTATGGGGAACTATGGGGAAAAACACTGACCCCATAGTTCTCCTTTAACATCCCACAGTCTGAGACTCTGCAATAAGAGGTGATCAGTGCTAAGTTTTGGCAAAATACAATATTTTTAAATATACTTGCATTCTGTAATTATGTACTAGGAATAATTTTTACAAAGCCAGGAGAGAGGGAGAGAGTGTGAGTGTGTCAAGTGTGTGCGCGCCTTGATTGGATTAACACCGCTGTGTTTTGCTTTAGCTTTTTATATTGAAATTCATCAAAATGCATGTTACCTGCAGGTCTACACACATCAAAGTGCACTATAATGCACGTTTAAATCTAAAATGAACATCGCATTGCTCTGCTAATGCACATAGGCAGGTTGACAAGTTTTCATGTGTCCATGGAATTCAATGGGGAAACAGATTAGCGAAAAAACACATAAAAGGTAAAGGTGTTAACAGGTCTAAGTAGAAAAAGTAATTATAGCCTGTTAATATAAACGTCAGTCAAAGTATCGCAGCGCTGAACACTGAAAAATGGCCTGGCCAGGAAGGGGGTCTAAACACCTGGTCTTGAAGTGGTTAATAAGAAAACTTACCTCGACAAATGCAAATAGTACAGCATTTTCTGTCATCCTCATTTGCTGCTGGGCTTGATTTAGACGCAATGAAAAGGTTTCCCATTTTTTCTTCAACAAGTACTCTGGAACAAAGGAGATAATGCTCAAGATTTGAGATGGAGAAATTAGTTACTATAGTATTTACTAAAGGGTAATAAAAGGTCCAACCCTATTCCCAGGTTAACCACCACTAAAACAATGGTGAAAATAATTTTGCAAGTTATTTTGTGTAGCGCAGGTCATCATACACAAATTGTTTAAAAACAGAACCATGATCAAAAGGACACATTTATACTAATACTTATCAAAAAGGTAGCATCTACCTACAAACATCAGAACAGCATCTTATGCGCTGTTAAAATGCCAAATGATCAAGCCCCCCCCCCCTTGCTTATCTTAGTTCCAAGGCCACCCCCTTCTCCGCTGGTCCAAAGAAAATCTCTTTAGCACTGGTTGTGCCTGCACACAGGATCTGCACAGGGCCAAATATCGAGACTTGAGATCCTTGCCATTCACGCAAATGGTGACATAGTGAGCAGGTGTGGCCAGCACTGAAGAGGTTTTCATCAGAGACTAAAACACAGTCACAGTGCTACAATTAGCTGAAATTCAAGCCATGGGTGGCCCTACAAGCACCACCAAACCTGAAATGAAGTATGTTTAAAAATCAACTGAGCCAGGTGGGAAAACTCACAGCCAAAGAGTGACTACACCCTATCTATATGCAGTCACTATTCGGGTATTTAGGCAGCTAAGGATACGGAGGCTGCTCAAGTACTATAGCTGGCACGGGAGCTTTCTCCATCCATGCAGTTTAGTGTAGATGGGGAAAATAAGTCTTTTTTTATCCTTCAGCATGCAAGCTGACAAGAGAAAATGTATGTGTGGATTAAGATAGGTAAGCAGTTAGGGGGAGGGATAGATTATTACAGTTTAGGTAGGGGAATTCCTCTAGCAACTTCAGCGCGAAATTATAGCTAATTTGCCTACAAACTTCAGGTGGTCATAATAATCTGGCCACTCAGTGTATATATCACCAAGGAGAATGGTGCTCTATTCCCAGCTAATCAGTCATAGCACGCCTTCCTTCATGGAACTCAGGAAAGGCGAGAACAAAAAATAAAAATAAAGATCGGTACTCGATACGGAATAACTGGCATCAGTGAATCCCTAATTTAAAGTATAGAGTTCGTATACTAACATATTTCCTTTTCTGAATTTTGCTGTGCTTCTATTGAACAATAGTCAAAACATTATACCAACAACTTTATCACGATGGGAATAATAAATAAACCATACAAAAAAAAAAACTAAAAATTAAACCTCAGGCAGCTTACTCCAATTAGGAATTGTTCCACTTACCTGACTCTGCACCCTGAACCTTAGTCATGGCATTTTTCACAATATGCTGCATTAATTTCAGCAGGTCTTGCCATCTCTTTTGCTTATAGCATGTCTGTATGTGTCCCAGAAAAGTTTTGTTTTGCTTTCTAGAGAATGTCTGAGTAAAAAGCTCTTCAAAATCTTCTCGCATTGGAAGCCATATTAGTCTATGATCTACGGGCTTGTAACTAAAAGAACAAACAAGAAGAAAAAAAGAAATTATGTTTAATATGTGTAAATTATATAGGGGGAATGGATTTACTATTCAAAATTAACCATAGTATATAGAAATACCCCACCTATGTAAAAACATATAATGCCCCATCTGTAAAACATAGCTTTTAACCTTATGAGCTTGAAAAGCATATACACAGTCCTAAAACAAAAAGGTCACATTTGCGTCAGCATGCAACTTTACCATCTTTAAACTTCTATGTCCACAGTTAGTCCCTCATAAATACCTTTAAATAGATGCTGAGAACCACATTCAAAGCCTTATTTATTTCAATGCTTTTTCTGAATACCCAAAGGTGTGGAAATAAATGTTAAAAAACAAAAACAGAAAAAAAACGTATTTAACGTGCTAAGTAGCGCTTCTGGTTTGTCAGTGCGGTCAGGTGAGTGGCGCAGGGCTGCACTGGACAGCAGTATAGGATACAGATAATACACCCAGAGATTTGAGCAGGTAAATCCATTTTCCCAAATTACTTGGAAAAGTGAACCTATCCTTTAATGCAGTGTGTGTGTGTGTGTGTGTGTGTGTGTGTGTGTGTGTTAGTGAGCGCTGGCGGCACACCTTCGAGAGGGTGCAGATCATAAGTTGGAGATGCCTTTGTCTCAATACTATGTCATAAAGGATAACTACTCTGGCTCCACAGCATCCTTTACTACATGCTTTGGGACATTGGGTAAGCGGACTGACTCCTCCATAGAAGATCCTGTACTTGATCAATATTGTGCCATATACTAATCCACACTCTCCCAACAAAACTGCAGCACACCTTTTATTGTTTGTTAGTTTTTTTTACCTGTGTGATGGCAGTAACTCTAAACCCCTTTCCCCCAATTACAAGTTTCCAGTTACTGGATTAAAGCCCAAAGCATAGGGGATGGGAAACAAAATTGTTACTTTCCGGTTTGTTGATGCACTGCCAAAGCCTGTCCATCCATATGTGCATTGCTGGTACAGCTCCCTTGCATGCCCTGTACAGGTGCTGGGAGCCAGAATGTGACACCACTCCGGTCCAGGCACCTCTACAGGACATATGAGGGAGCTGTAAGCAATGAATGGAGCTCCCTCACAGCCATAACCCCATCCCACCCCACCTCAAGCGGACACTCGGCACTGGGCAGCATATTTTGAATGGCTGCTTGGCGTGAGAACCGACAGTGCTGTGCTAGGGGGAGGCTAAGGAGCCTCTCGCCTAGAAAAGTGGAAGACATGTGGCGACCCACTGAACAGGGGGTTGCGACCCACTTTTGTGTCACGACCAATCAGTTGAGAACCAAGGTACTTGAGTGACAGATGTTAAAAACCAAGTGAAAGTACTAACACTCCATCTCGCAATTTCGAACTTTCTGTATGGAAGTACTTAAATGGAAGTACTCGGTTCTTAATGCAGTTTCAATATACTTGGCCCTAGAGACGAGCTTTAGGAGGATCTGAGAAAGCAATTATAAATTCTTTTTGATTGACATTTACCTAGATTTTCAATTCCGTTGGGGCTCCATGGATTTTTTTTAATAGTACATGTCTGAATACAGTATATATTTGAGCTCATAGGATTAAAAGCTATATTTTATTATTGATAATACTTCAGTTCCCAGATCTCATTTATACATTAGACTTCATTATCTATTATTTGCAGAAGGAAATCTGTAATTGCAGTTTGTATAGGTTTCACAGGACAGGTCTTTATAGGTGATATGCAATAGAGACCACATAACCAGTACACATGAGATGAGGAGGAATGCAGATGACACCAGACATGATTGGCACCGTTTTCAGTCTTGCGGGTTTATCTAGCTGCATTGTACATGAGCGTCCTATGTAATTCCCATTGAACTAAATGTCACTAGATGGAAGGTTTATACACAACATATTGCTGTTCATCTTATTCACTGTTATAGGCAAGGCAGTGTACAATTCACTTACCCTCCTAAGAGATCTGCTGTATCACTCTGCTGGTTCATATTCACAATACGTAGGCGCTGACCTGCATATGAACAGAGGCAAGAGAACAAAAGTGATGTGATATGATGTGCTAGCAACATTTCTAAATCTCAATTTTCATATTCTTTACAAATGGATATTCTTGTATTGCCACAAATTCATGTCTTTCCAGCAGTGAAACAGAGCTACAATATATTTCTTTCATTATTTTCCAATCTAATTTAAATGTGAAAAAATTAACCCTGGTCTTTATAAAAAACACACACATTACCTGCAACATGAGCAAGATATTGGACTGTGGAGGTTTTGCCAGTGCCAGTTTCTCCCACCAACAATACAGGCTCTCCTTTATTGACACACACTGCAATCTGTTCAATCAATATTGTAGAAGGTCGCGTGGCAGCAAATGTAATCTTCTCCCTGTAAAGAAGACACAGAAGTAGAGAAATGTTGAATCCCAAATATGCAGAATTGAAAAAATTACCTGAACTATTTTAAATATATATTAAAAAATTTTTTTTACAGTGAAAGGCCCTGTGGTGCACAACCATGCTTCCCTCAAGTTATCAGCAAAAAGAGAACTATTAGAGGAATCTTTACCAATTAATGTTGGAGATAAACATATAGGGAAAAACAGTGTATTATAGCCCAATTTTTTTTTTTTTTTAGCTTTGGATAGAGTAGGGAGGGTTTAAATGTTTTAACGTTAACTTCTGCTGTGAAGATTTCTCTTCACTACCTGTCTTGGAGAAGCAACAGGAAGGGCAATTCCCACCTTAGACAGTTGTCCTCAGAATATTTGTCCCCATTTGAAGGATTACCCTCACCTCTTGCTCGGACAGCTTTAAAATTTAAGATTTTCTTTTTTCTCAGGGGCAATGGCCACCAGGAAAGTCTTCACCATTTTCCTTAATATTTGCGCACACAAAAACCCTAACACCCCCAAACAATGATATATTTTCTGAAAGCAGAGACCCTGTAGAATAAAAAAAATGCTAGTTGCAATTTTTTTTTGTTGCACGGTATTTGCACAAATGTTTATCAAACCAATATTTTTAGGCTAAAATACAGAAAAATTAAAATTTAGTGCACAGAAACAGAATATAATACCCATTTTTTGGTAAAATATAAAAGATGGGGTCTTGTCGGAAAAATAGATAAACATGTCAAGCCTTAAAATTGTGATCGCCTGTGACACTGCAAAAAAACTACAATACCCAAAATTTCCCATAGGCAATGCTTTAAAAGCTTTTACTGCTCATCAGTTTAGTGATTACCAGTAATTGATGGCCTAGAATTAATGCGCTCACTGAGCGATTCTGGCGACTCAGCTGCTGGCAGATCACTTCTACGGGACGGGATATGCACTTCAATAGCTTATTTAAAGTGGACAGGTGATACTGGGGGTCCAAAAGACCCCCAGTATCGCCTTGAGGACCTGTCACCACCAATATGCTATCACAGAGGGGGCTCAAAAAATATATAACGTTTGGGGGTTTGAAGTATTTTTAAGCCTAAAATGTGGATTATATAATGCGTGCAAAAACCAAAAAAAAGGCCTTGGCAGCGAAAGATTCCTTAAGGTATTAAAAAATATTTGCGACTTTAATTTTTTTACACTTAACTTTATTGCAATCACATAGGGGACTAACAAGCCCCCTATATAATAGCAAATAGGATGTCACAGGTCCTCTTTATGGAGGCATCAGATGTCTGCTAAACCCCTAATGTAACCTAGGGACCCCACAGACGCTGATGAAGCAGCAATCTGATTCACCAGCTTCTTCTCTTGGGTACAGGAGCCAGAGAAAAAGTATAACACATCACTCCTGGGTCCTGTGATACGGGGCGAATCAGCGGCTGGGAGTGTGCCAATCTCACTCCGATCAAAGAGGAGAGACCCGCTGTGTAGGTCCCGCCCAGGAGTCAGTAGAGCCCAGGGTAGCCAGAGGCGTGGAAGGGCAAACACTCCACCACACAAGAGATTGGACTGCTGTATAGCCGTCGAATGGCTTGTATCTGGGACAGCCATCGCCGGCTGTTTAAAACGATACCAAGAACATAGCTGCTGCACCACTTAAGGAGCCGGACGTTTTTGAATCAACAGTTCAAACAGTTTGAGCAGTCAATTTGCAAACCTCTAGAGCCTGCAGATATTAGGAAACATCTTGCAGAAAAGGCAAACATATACTAAGTTACTATGAGAGTAAATATACACAACTTACTTTTGAAGACGAATAGTATCAGTTTGTTTTCTAAGCATCTCCACTCTTCCAACAGAGACATCCAACTCCCGGATAACAATTTCCGGCTTATAAAGCTGGCAGTAAAATTCTGCCTATAATGATATAAACACACGTATGAGTTGACAGGATTAATTAGCTAATCAAGAAAGGGGTACAGCGCAGCTGAAATGCTTTTGAGTTCCTAATGCACTGCCTGTGTTTAGGAGCATTCCCACTGAAATATATGGTGAGGTGCTTGATTAAGAGCTAATCCTATTCTTGCCCATCCTTTAAAGTAGTACAGTGAACACATAACCTCCTTGTAAAACATGTAAATGAATGAGAAATCAATGCTGTGGCCTGTTTTACAGAATAGGTGCATTGAACTACTTACTTTTTGCTTAGAAATATTTAATTTGCTTCCAATTATTTCAGCCATCTTGAGTCTGGTTGCTGGTTTAGAAAGCATGGCAGTGAAGCAGTCAAGGGCCTGGTACACAAAACACAAAAAACAGTTAAGCTTCTCTATTTATACAACAGGTTACAGCAGTACTATGAGGCAGTACAGTGGTTGTGAGGATTAGTGCCGGGCAGCACTGGGATCCTCAGTTTGAATCCTGACCAAGGAACTATATGCATTGAGTTTAAAATATTTTCCCTGTGCTTGAGTGGGTTTCCTCCCACACTCCAGAAACAAGGTGGTAGGTTAATTGACTCCTGTCTAAATTGACCTTAGTATGCGTGTGCATGTGAGAGACCACAAATTGAAAGCTCCTTAAGAGCAGGGATGTGAATCAACAGTATGTAAAATGCTGCTTAAATAATAAGTATATAATGCACCAATTTATGTTACCTCATAGAATATATTCAAAGCAGTGCTTGATGAGGAGCCATCAAAGTTATAGGCAATTCTGTTACACCACTTCAACAAGTCTCTGCAAAAAAAAGGGGACATGTTCATAAAACTACTACTCAAGTTATTTACTCCACAAAATTCTTATTCGTCATCTGTTTTACCAAATATGTACTACAAGGAAGGCCTGCGAAAACAACAATTGCGCCCATTACATATCGCTGCAAACGTCACAGTAAGAGCAATAATTTTAGGGCCATCAGTCACTGATAACCCTAAACTGATGAGCTGTAAAAGCTTTTAAAGCATCGCCTATGGTCAATTTTGGGTATGGTAGTTTTTTGCGATTTTGCAGGTGCGCGCAATTTTTAAGCTTGACATGTTTGGTGTCTATTTAGCCGACGTGACCCCGTCTTTTATATTTTACCAAAAATATGGGTAAGAATAATTGTTTCCTAAATATAGTAAAAAATTCAAACCGCAGTGGTGATTAAATACCACCAAAATAAAGCTCCATCTGTCTCCCCAAAAAAGGTATAAAAATCATTTCAGTACAGCGTTGTATGAACGAATAAATGTCAAAGTACCGCAGCGCTAAATACTGAAAAATGGTCTGGCCAGGAAGGGGGTGTAAACACCTTCAAGCGGTTAAATAAAAAAAGAAATGGCTGCTGCCACATGGTTATGAAGAATGCAAAGACAGATATACACCGGTATAATTATGCATAATCGTTTACAAATTTAGGGATTTATCTTTAGGTCTTTTTTTTTATAGCCAAGTGCTCGGTTTTACGAAGGTTTAAAAAAAAAAAAAATTTGAGTTTAAGTGGTTTTTAGTTTTTAAATAAATATGGACACCGACAAATATGATGTGTCTCTATACATTTTACACCTCTTGCTTTAAAGTGGCATTCAGGGCCCGTTGACACCAACTTCGGTGCATACCAGAGCGGTAGCTGGTGGAAAACACTGTAATCGCACTCTAAACACCCCCCCCTTCATTGGCAGGAGGGGGCGTGGCAGTGCACTTAAGTCAATGGCACTGTGGCCACACACCCCGCAGTGCTATCGGACTCGTAGCAATACATTGCCTGCGTTCCAGTCGAGTGCAAATGCAAAAAAAATGCTACATTCCGCTTTATTTGCGTGTGCATTGGACCGGAACGCGTCCGATCGTACTGCGGGCGGGGGTTGCGGCGCCATTGACTTCAATGCACAGCTACGCCCCCTCCCGCCCCAGAATGAAGGGGGGAGTTCAGTGTGTGATTACAGTGCATTCCAACTGCTAATGCTCTGGAACGCAATTGGTGTGAACTGGCCCTCAGCACGCACTGCTGTCTACAGTGTGCCCAATGCAAGAGAAATAAGTTTGTACAAGCTTTTTTGTAGTAACAGACTCGGGTATCAACGCACTTCTAACACAGATATCATTTAAATAACAGATTATAGAACACTTACCTTAGTGACAATCCTCTACCTTCAAGATTTGGTTTCTTGTCTTCTGCCTTTGGGCCTTGAAGAAAGGCGGACTCCAAAGAACTATCAGAGTGAAGGATTGACAATGTCTGATGCTTATCTCCTGTAAGCTGAATGTATATGTCTAGCAACCGATCAGTAACCAGATCCAAGTTGGGATAAAGTTGATGAAGCACCTATAAATGGGAAATATTCATCACTGTGTTAAACATTCCTGTAATATGTCCAGCAATGTTTTCTTATGTATGATCAATAAATAAAATTGTAAATCATTTCTACTTCCAGAATTAAAAATGTCATCAAAATGTCTTAGAGGTCCATTCTATCTTTCAGACCATGTTTCAGATTACACCCATATTTAGGGTGTAAGATGAAAACGTACACATTCAGCAGCCCCTCTCCAACACCATAACATTAAGGCCAAACAGTCTTCAGTTTGTATAAGAACAGTATGCAAAGCTTGCTGTACAAAGCTTTCAGCAAGCTTTGAGCAGCTTTAGGCTCCATTCACAATGAGTGGCTGTCCGCGCGTATTCGGCTGTATGGATACGTGTGGAGCCGCTCTAAACAGAGAATACAATGCACTTTAATCTGCATTGTTCACACAATTGCGAGGACTGCGCATTAAACCGGCGGATTCCACAGGTTCGCGGCTATTCAATAGCGGCAAACGAGCAGCATCCATGTGGATTCAAAATATTAGTGTTTTCGTCCCGCAATGTCTTGCGCGCGGAACACTGTGCAGGAAACGCGAACGCCATTTGTGAATGGAGCCTTACTGAAGACATGAAAAGAACAAAAACATCTCCGTTTATTACTTTGTGTTTATTAATATAAGAAAGCAAGAATGATACAAACATCCGTCTGTAAACAGCTTGTCTGTAAAAATCATGCATTACAGCAGAGAACATGTGTCACAAGAGCGACCGGACTTCAGAGCATCATAGGAAACAGTGAAAACGACTGGGTTAAACAATATATATCTGGTTCTGATGAAGATGGTTTAACCACTGAAGTGCATTAACCCTGTCATTTTCACCTTTTAAGATGCTTCACAGTCCGGTCAGTCTTGTAACACATTCTCTGCTGTAAGGCATGATTTACAAGCCGTTTACAGACGGATATTTGCGAGTATCATTCTTGATTTCTTATATTAATTAATAAACAAACAGTAATAAAACGAAGACTGGGAGCTGTTTTTTTTTCCTTCTTTTCATGTCTTCTGAAGGATCCCAGCCTGTGATTGAACAGCATCCCCTTCAGTGCAACTGTATTGAACCTTTGCTCTGGTCCCCTGTGAAGTGAGAAACGTCTGCTAAGCGCTGAACAGTTTGGACAATAAGCTTTAATGAAGACTTTAAAGAAAACCTCAGTTCTAGTTTGGGAATATTAATCACCAATCTTAATGGGAGTGGCATATGGCATACGGTGTAACACAACCGCCTGCAGCTGGCCACATCAGTATGCCATACATCGGTGGCTTTTACCATTCCACCATCGAACAGCCTCTCCTACCCACGCCTGGAGCAGCTCCATACTGAGATCTATTAATCCTCTGATCCCCGCTGCTCTCCACCACCTCTATGGGCTGAGGCAGCGGGCATCAAATGGGAGGGGGTGGGAGGAGGAGGAGGAGGGAGCCGTGACATTCAGGATGGCCGAGCAGTGAGCAAAGCCGCCAGCTATCAAATCCAGGATCGCCAGGCGCTGTGATCCGTGTATGCCAAGCAGGTCAGGATGGCCGAGCGGTGGATTGGGTAATATCTGTGATATTCACCGAACCTCTGTGTGCAACAAACCCACTGGAGTGATCGCTGATTACTCCAGTTTGTAAACAACTGGGGACACATAGTAATGTGCCCCTAGTTATAAATAAATATGAAGTGCTTTACATCACTTCCTGTTCATTCATGGGTTTCTTAATAGGCAGGAGCAGCTCACTACCGAGGCTTCTACCCATTCATATCTGGATGATGGTAAACATTTTCACCTACCAATTTGTAAATGATTGCGAAGCCTCTGTATTGAGTGCTTTCCATTCATTCAGTGCTGAGGCTGCAGAAAGAGAGATCGAGGACTCTGTGTCCTCAATTTCTCAATTTCTTTTTAGACCCCTGATATTTACCCGAAGGCGCGTGCCCACCCCCCCCCAAAAACAGTTAAAAAAAACACGGTTAAAGTTGAGTTTAGCCTATAATTTAAGCTGCATAGGTAAATTGATATATACATCATATGTAACATCTGCTTATGATATGTGAAGTTCCCAGGTTTGTGACAGGTACAATTTAAGTACAAAACAAATGCTTGTACAAAAAGTACACAATGTTTCGAACAACTCGGCAGAAGCTATTTAAAATGAGGGAAAAGTCAATTAGTTGTAGATGCATTACTAGAGGGAAAACAATATACAGCTACTAATATAAAATTGCTGTATTGCCACTGCACCTCTTTTAGTTCGCTTCTGCTCATGTTATCCACTTGTATTTTGGTCCAGTATTTATCAAGTAACAAGGCATGGCTATTTGGTGGTCTGTACCAGACACCAGTACTAGAGCTGAGTAACCTAAAAAATGAAAAGAAAAAAAAAACAATTCTTTAGAAAAATACAACATACATGTACAGTAAATATAATGAAACAAGAATACAACAGTAATTCCATTCAAAAAAGAATGAAGAGCAGAATAACCTAAAATTATCAGAATGGAGGAACTGGTTTTCCATTGCCATGACAGATAAAATTCCATTAGCATGTAGTCTCTTCTTGGATCATTTTTATGAACTCCAGTGGCTTAAAGACACCAACATGAGCTCTAAACAACTACCAATATAATTTAGGAGATTATAACATTGTTTCACTAAACCTAGGCTCACCCCAATCCTTATGAATATGACCTATCCAGTTACATTTGTTTCTTCCCATCTTTACTCTAGCTCTTGAACAAAAGCAGAAAACTTTACATCCTCCCACTTAAGCCTTTTGGAGCTTGTACCCAACACAATACTGTAGAGATGTGCAAAAAACTATTCATCTCAACATACCATACTGACAAACTGGGCAAGCATGATTTTTCTTCATACAGTAAGCTCCCCATTATTTGCCATTGAAGCAAAAAGAAATAAAAAAAAAAGGATATACATCCTGTTTTGTTTTTTTTTGCGGTTGCTCGATAGACATGCACACACTAAAAAATGTTGTTAGCAACTAAATTTATTTTATCGATCCCCGTGGCTGCCGGATAACTGGAAGTTTACTGCAATTAACGTATTTTTCACCTCCTGCCTGTAAACACAAACATGGTTCTTATAAGATCAAACTATAACTAAAAATCATCAGTTATACAAGATATATATCTTATGCTCCTATCCCAATCAAAAAAGGCAAGGGCACTAGAGCAAAAATGCTAATCAAAATTATTTTCTTAGCTAATCTGACAATGGGAAAACTATAACTTGGCAGTTGCTATGGTTTACTGAACTTTCCATTTTTAAAACTGCCCCTTGCAATAGCTTGGGCATTAAGCATGCAAACAGGTATGGTACAAAAATGAAGCAAATTACCTCCTGGTGGCAAACAGCTGAAAACCTGGAGCCACTTTTATGCAGTCTCCTCTTCCAGGAACTACCAATTCACCATTTTCCAAAATAGGAATTAACACGGATATCTATTTAAAAATCAAATAAAAAAGGGTCAATTAGAATACAAAATCTACATGCACTAATATAAACTTCATATTTAGGGCCCGAAATATAAATGTGCTCTTAACCACTTGCTGACCGTGGTGTTAAACCCCCTTCCTGTCCAGGCCATTTTTCAGTGTTCAGCCCTGCAGTATGTTAACTGAAATATATTTCGTCATGCAACGTTGTACTGAAATTAATTTTATAAAAAAATTTTAGGGACAGATAGAGCTTTCTTTTGGAGGTATTTAACCCCTTCATGACTGGGCTTGTTTTTCGTTTCTGTTCGTAAATTACTGGCACACTTTTGACATTTTTGCTGTGTGATTCTTCCACGTCAGTAATATACTTTCTTACAAAGTGCACCCACACATATTATATATTGTTTTTTTTAGAGGACAGATAGGGCTACATATTTATATCACATATTTGTGTCTAACGCCTCACTTAGGACAAAAAAAATATAAAAAAAAGGAGGAAAAAACGTAAAAAAACACTTTTTTCCCAGTTTTGATTTGTAGTATTTTTTTTACAAAACCAGCACAGCTTAAAAAAAAATGCAATAAATAGATTCATTTATCCCTTTATTTATTTTTTTACACTTTTTTAAACTTAAAAATATTTTAATTATATCAAGCAGTTATTGTGAATTAATCTCAGTATTACTGCTTGATAAATTAATAAATTTTTGATTATCAGGCTGCTTCAAACTTCAGAACAGCCGATAAGTTAGTGACACTGATCCTGCAGCAGTTCAGGATTCAGCTGTCACTAGTTTTCTGAATGTTCCAACAATGATCAGAAAACTGACACATTCTTCTTTCAGGAATAGATACATTATGTATCTATTCCTGAAAGTGAAAGCCAGTATAGCTTGAGAGAGATATCTCTCGATCTATACGAGCTGTCAGAATGCCGACTTTTGCGCCTCGTCATTTGGTCCGTTTGTGGCGGGACGTAAAGTGTACGTCTCCCGTCACGAAGGGGTTAATCACCACTGGGTTTTTTATTTTTTACTATATGAAAAAAGAACCGAACATTTTGAAGAAAAAAAAAAATTGTCCCTACTTTCTTATAAAACATTTATCAGCACCCACATTTTTGATAAAATATAAAATACGGGGTCATGTCGGATAAATAGACACCAAACATGTCAAGTCTTAAAATCGCGTGGCCCACAAAATCAAAAAAAACCTAACATGCCTAAGATTGTCCATAGACGACGCTTTAAAAGCTTTTACCGCTCATACATTTAGTGTCATCAATGATTGATGGGTCTACAATTATTACTCGTACTTCGACGTTCACAGCAATATGTAGCATGTGGCGTAATGGTTGTTTTCGCACATAGGCGGACCCGGCGCGTATTTACATTTATAAGCGCGTGCTGGAAGTAGGTAATCCTGCATAACTTTTGCCGAGTCCTGTACAATCCACCTACTAATTGTATTCAAAAGCAGAATGCACATTTAGAGTGGTCCCAAATGCCTTTCTTGCACTAACGCCTACTGTGCAGACATGGTACTCTCATTGCGGTTCAGATCAGCTCTGGAAATGAAATACCCAAAGAGGCACAGACAGACATAGTAGAGTGAGCATTAACAAGAAAAGGGGGATTTGATCCTTGAGACCACATGTTTGAAAACCAATCTGTCTCATAAGCCACCTAGGGATGCTGGAATGAAGAGCTGCTGCACCCTTCAGGAGCCCATGCAGAATGACAAAAACATGAGTTGGATTACCTGATAACTCTGTTTCCAGGAATCTTCCAGGACAGCCCATGAGATAAGGCTTCGCCTGCCTGCAACAGGAAACACATCAACCACATTTAAATAAATAGACCCCTCCTTCCATCCCAATTCAGTACCCTCTAGAACCAAAGGCTACCAAACATTTCAAAGTATCCCCTCTAACATCAATACACGGATGTCCCCTGGCTACCAACCAAGGGCGGGAATCTGCTGTCCTGGAAGATTCCTAGGAACAGAGTTATCAGGTAATCAACTCATGTTTTCCCCAGTCATCTTCCAGGACAGCCCATGAGAGGATCAGCGAGGACAAATCTTACCTCCTAGGGTGGGACCACAGCTTGCAGGACCTTCCTGCCAAATGCCTGGTCTTGTTGGGTCATGAGATCCAGTCTGTAATGCCTGACGAAGGTCTGGAAAAACTGGACCACGTGGCTGCTCTACAGATCTGGTCGGGAGTAGCCCCTGCTCGCTCTGCCCATGAAGTGGCCCATGCTCTAGTGGAGTGTGCCGTGAGCGACCCTGGCAACGCCAAGCCCTGAGCGTTGTAAATCACAGTTATGGCCATTTTAATCCACCTAGCAATTGTGCTTTTAGTGGCACTGTTCCCTTTAGTGGGACCCCCAAATATTACGAAGAGACGAGTCGACCGTCTCCAAGGTTTCGTGACCCTAAGGTACTCCAGGACGCACCTGCGTACGTCAATGCCCTGCCATTCCCTTTCCCCAGCAGAGGTAGGGTTAGTTGCAAACGAAGGAATGACCACCTCCCGAGTCCTGTGGAAGGTGGGCACCACCTTCGGCAAAAAAGCCGGGTCTGGCCGTAGAACAATTTTATCTGCCATAATGGTGCAGTACGGGTCAGCCATGGAGAAGGCTTGAATCTCGCTCACTCTCCGAGCAGAAACCAATGCTACCAAGAGGGCCGTCTTCACCGTCAGGTTGTGGATGGGGTTCGAAAGGGGTCAGGTTGTGGAAGGGGTTCGAAAGGCTGTTTGAGAAACCCCTGGAATACCACCGAGAGATCCCAATTCGGCACTACCTTACTCCTTGGGGGTTTCATTCTTACCACAGCTCGCATAAACCTTTTTATGAGAGGTGCCTCTGCCAGTCTAATATCTACAAAATTAGACAAAGCCGTCACCTGTACTTTCAGTGTACTACAGGCAAGACCCTTTTCCGGACCCCCCTGTAGAAAATCTAAAACCAACGGCACCGTGTCGGCCGTCGGTCTACCTCGGCTGTTGTACCAGCTTGAAAAGACTCTCCACACTTTCAGGTAAATTGCAGCTGTGACTGGTTTTCTACTGTGCAACAATGTGGAGACAACCTGTGCGGATAACCCTTTATTCATCAGCACCTCCCTCTCAGAAGCCACGCAGCTAAATTTAAAGCCTGTACTTGCGGATGGTTCACCGTGCCCTGTACCAGCAAGTCTGCAGTCGGCGGAAGAAGCAGCGGCCCCTCCACACAAAGCTCTAGGAGTGTCGTGAACCACGGCCTCTTCTGCCAGTATGGCGCTATCAAAATTAACATCAGCCTCTCCCCTCTGAGTTTCCGAAGTACATTCAGAATCAATTGTAGTGGGGGAAATGCGTAACACAAACGGAACCTCCACGGGTGCGCCAAAGCGTCTACCCCTAGAGCACCGTCGTCCCTGGAGAGGGAAAAAAATTGTTCCACCTGCCTGTTGTTGGCAGCTGCAAAGAGGTCCACCTACGGGCAGCCCCACAAGCTGGTGATCCAGGCAAACGTTCTCGCATTCAGAGCCCATTCGGACCTGTGAAGCTCCGTTCGGCTGAGCGAGTCTGCCAGTTCGTTCAGGCTGCCTTTGATATGTCTCGCCGTCAGGGATAAGAGGTTGCGTTCTGCCCATGACAGAATCTCCGTCGCCAATGCCATCAGCCCCTGCGAGCACGTACCGCCCTGCTTGTTTATATAAGCTACCGCCGCGGCATTGTCCGAGGCCACCGCTACATGGTGGCCCACTAAGACCTCCCGAAACTGGCATAGAGCTAGCCCTATCGCCTTCAGCTCTCTCCAGTTTGACAACTGGACTCTGCCTGTGTGCTCCCAGGTATCCTGCCAAATGTGCTCCAGGCAAAGGGCTCCCCAGCTCCAGGCACTGGCGTCCGTCGTCACTACTAACGGTGCAGGCTGGCACCACAGCCTGCCCCCTGAGAGGTTTCGACCGTCCATCCACCACAGGAGGGATTGCTTGGCCTCCTCCGTGATGTGGACCACTTTGTCTAGGTCTTGTTGTCGACTTCCCCAGGCCCTCAATAGCCAATTTTGTAAAGTTCTGGAATGGCACTGCGCCCAGGTAACCGCTGGGATAGCGGACGTCATAAGCCCCACCACTCTCATCACTGACCTGACTGATACTGCGCCCTGCAGTCTCAGCCTCAGTGTTTCCTCCACCAGCAGTGACACCTTTTCCCCTGGTAGAGTAATGGTCATTTCTTGGGTATTGATCCAATACCCCAAGAATTTTACCGTCTGTGCGGGGACTCGTCTCTGCCAACACTTTGGTAAAGATTCGTGGCGAAGAGGAAAGGCCGAAAGGCAGGGCCCTGTATTGAAAATGCAGGACCCCCGCACTGCAAACCTTAGGAGGTATTGCGACGACTCTCTTACTGCAATATGAAAATACGCGTCTCTTAGATCTATAGTCGCTAGAAAAGAGCCTGGGGGCATCAACTCTCGGATTGAAAAGATCGATTCCATACGGAATCTTTTGTACAGTACCACCCTGTTCAGAGGCTGCAGATTGAGTATCAGTCTGCATTTTCCTGAGGGCTTCATCCTGGAAAAGATGTGGGAGTAAAATCCTTTTTTCTCCTCCAACTCGGGTACCCGCACTATCACCCCCTGGTCCAGCAGATCTTGCAAAGCCGCTGTCATTGCCTCTGCTTTCTTCTGGTCTTTTGACAGGGAAGTAATCAGAAGCCTTGACGGGGGTGCTTCCGTCAGCTCTATTTTGTAACCGATCTGAACCAGTTCCAAAATGTATTTGTTGCTGGTTAGTTGCCTCCAGAGCGGGAAGAACTCCCCCAGTCTTCCCCCCCCCCACCCTGAGCAATCGGTCATTGGGATTTGTTGGGCTGCTGAGGTGGGTTAAAGAGGAAATTACTCTTTGACTTCCCCTTTTTAAAAGCCCACCCTTTTGATTGGTCTTGTTTCTTCCCATAAACTCCCCTCTTCTCTTTACGGAAGTTTTGACCCCTTTGGCCGCAA